ACAAGGTCCCACATAAAGGGCAGATGTGCTATCCTGTCTGTGTGAGTGTTTGCAGCATTTGCCTTGTGATGTGGCATAGACCAAAGATGCTCCTTTGAGCCAGAGTTTTGTCTCCTTCCTTCATTTCTTGATGGATGTTTCCCACTCGCCTACTTTACCAGCCTCATGTGCTGGTAAATGTTTTCAGGGTGCTTTGGATAGGAAGCACTTTGCCAGAGAAAACCACCTGTTATATAGCAACACTCAGGCTGAAATGGTAGCAGTAACAAAAAAACCCCTAGTTTTACAAGTATACAGGGGAGAGGTGGAGACAGATTAGAGCAATCTGTGGTTTTGAAATCTGTCTAAATAAAGCAAACCACATTAATATGTCAATGTGCAAAAGTAATGAATGCAAACCACAGCAGAAATTTGTGCCCTATGTGTTCATATTTCCCCCAATTACGTACAATACCTAACCATCTTCATCACTACCGCGTGGTGTCCTTGTGCTGGTCATACACATTGTGCTTAGCCCTTGCAGGACCAGATGTGAGTGAGCTGCAGGGAGGTGAGGATGGGGAGAGGCACTCCCTTGTCCTGAGACTTGTGGTCCTCACTGGGTTGGAATGTCTGTGAGCTTCATGGACAAAGCTTGAGGTCTGTCCTCTTTACTGCTTGAGTTCTGTGGTTTTAAGCACTGCTTTACCATCTATTTTGCAGCACTGAGGCTCCAAGCTGTGTGGAACACCCAGTTGTGCTGGCCTGTAGCACATACAGGGAGAGCTGGTTTGCCAAATTCCTGAAGAGCCAAGGACTGCAAGCCAGATCTTTGTGTGTGCAGGGATCCTTCCAGGCAAATCAGCTAGAACCCATTCCTGAATGCAGTTGGGATCTGGTCCTGTTCCTCATGACACCTATAGGAACTTGATTTAGTTCTCAGCATTGTGACCTCTTTGGGGTGGGAACAACCTGGAAAATTTCTAACCCTATTTTGATTGTGGTCTTAAAACCAGTAATTCTTAACTCACTTTTGAGCCCTGAGATATTCCTGCCCAATGCAAGGAATGTCTACTGCTTCTCATGGAAAAGAAATAGTCATAAAAAATTTTTTACAGCATAAACTTTTAAGTTTTTCAGCTAGTAAATAGCTGTTTTCCCTGGCTTGTGAACTGGGGGATTTCACAGGGTATGCCTTAAGCAAAATTAAATCTTTACCTTTCCTAAATATTCCTGTATCACATTTGGGTCTTTTTCTAGACAGTGCTTTCCTAAAATTATATTCTTTCCTTGCATAACCTTTCACGTCACTACCTATTCAAGCAAAGGGTGTGTTAGTCCATATGGAAATTTTGAAATAGGGTCCTGAAATAAACTTAAGCTGAAATTTGCTCAACATAGAGATGCATATTTCTAGATTTCTAGATAACAGTTTACCAGAGCTGATCTAATTAACTGCTATCCTGCAGGTCTGAGAGAATCTATTTTATTTGTGTAACAAATGCATATTGATTGGTGGCAAGCATGTGCTAAAGCAAGTTCAATTGCATTTTATGTCGTGTGCTTAGTCAATAAGGCATAGGAAATGTATGCTTCACGCTGGGATATTGCAGTGGCTATTGAAGCACTAGGACACAGGATTACCTAATGCTACTTAGCAATCAACATCTAAGCATCTGTAACGTGCCTGCAGCTGTTTTAGTCACTTAGCAGGTCCTGAAAAATATCAACCGGAGGATTTTTGTAGTTATTCTGTTACACTTCACAGGTATAATTCAAAGCTGATCTATTAATAATGTATAAAATAGAAGCATAGAGCTGTTTCATATATAAATGTTCCACACTTTGCTTTCCTCCAAGGAGTGAATTTACCTTTAAAGAAGTGAAATGTAAAACGCATGTGGGTCATAATTCTCAGCAACATTATTTTTTACCATCACTTGCAAAAATATACATCTCTGGTTCAAAAAAAAATGTTGGTATATTGTTATAAAAGGAATACTTCAGCTTTCTGAAATATCCTGGCCAAGACTTGCTGGAATCCTGACCCAATGTAATCTTTTGCAAATACCTCTCTACAAATGTGCCTCTTTGAGTATCCCTGAGGATATTATTTAAATCACAGAGGAACTTTAGAAAGCATATGCAGGAATGGAAATCCTTTTAAACAGCCTTTTGTATGGGAAGCTTTCTGAGGAGGGAGGTCTGATCCTGCCACATTGAAGGCTGCAGGGGGTTTGCAAAAGTTGTATGAGGCACTTGATGGTAGAGAGAAAATTCCACCATTGGTATCTAACTCTGCCCTCGGAAATAAATGCAGCTCTGTCAGCTTTCTGTGGGAAAACAGGAACGGGAATGAGAGAGTGGGAACAGTCCCATGATGTCTCATGGGAGTAACCTGGAGGCAAATCTGGCCCTGCAAGTGTAAATGCCCTACTAGTGTAGCTGAAGCAAAGCAAATTTGATTTATCGCTTATAACAAGATCCTTCAGCATCAGATCCTGAAAATACTTAAGTCTAGCTTTGTCGTGAGAAGCCCCTTTGACTTCTCTTGAATTCTGGGGATGTAACGTTAAGTGTGTGTATTTAAGCCTTTAAGTTTTTTTTTAGTTCTTCCTGCAGGTTCTTTCCTCCAGCCACTACTGCCACTGGGGGAGATTATCATTTGGATATTACTAGAGATATGATCTATTTAAGATTTAAGTTTTATAGGCATGTTAATTGAATTAAAAGATTAATATACAGTGGAAGGGACCAAGTACATAGGCAATTAATCAGGAGAAATAAAACATAGTTGAGTCACATAGAAGCACTACAGGGGGAAAAAAACAAACCAGCACTGAAGGACCTTTGACAAGAAAGGTTGTTTTTTCCCCCAACAACCCTGTCAGCTATGGCTGTCAACAACAAAGAGAAAGAAACAAATAAATTGAAGGCCGTGTGCAAGTCATAGGACCAGAATATAAATACACATGACATGGAAAGGAGTAAATAATCCTGACGCTTTCTTTAGAAATGTTCTCGGGCAATACTTCCTATTCATGGTCTACTGAAATGACATGAACTAAAACTTTATGGGGAAAAGTGTTATTAATCACACAGGTTCTTGAGGGACATGGCTCTCCATGTGTTGGGAGGCAGATCTGCTGTCTAGGGCCTTACACCAGCAATCCAGATACAAAAAGTTTGGTCTTTTGTGCATCAGATCATAAAAGAAATGTGTTTAGCTGTTGCTGTCCAAAAAGACAGCTCTGCATTTTTCATTGCGGGTCAAACAGTCCCCTGTGGAGCTGGAAATCTGGATGGGAACAGCACTGCCAGGGCATGCAGTGAGTTGGTGGGAATGGGGTTGTGATGGAGCCCTGCAGGCATCTCCATGGTGTAGTCCCACCCTGAGCAAAGGCAGCTCACACCTGGGCCTGGCCTGAGAGGGCTAATCTCACTGCTCTGGGAAAGCTTCTGATTAATGAGAACTTTTGCAAACTCCAGAACTAAAATGAAGTGGGTAAAAAATAGAGAATCCTGCTGCAGTGATAAGGAGAAGAAAGCCCTAAAGGGCCAGGGAATGCCTGCTGGGTGAACAAAGGGGAGAGATAATCAAGATAGGAGAAGTATGCCCTAAAGGGCCATTACTGCTGGTTGAGGGAGGAGATGGTGACAATGATTTTTTTTTTAGAACTAATTGTAATAATAATGACCACCCATCTCTGGAAGTAATGTATAAAAACCATGAAGTTTTGTCCCTGGTTGCACAAGTTTGGTGGAACGATCCCCCTTGTGCCCAGCACTGAATAAACAAATACCTGCTACTCAGAGATACAAATCTGTGAGTAGTTATTTTCCAGGTTCTCTAGTCACTGAGAATTTCATAGCCATCATTTATAAGGAAGATGCTCCTAGCAAGGAGGACAAGACGTGCTCCTGGCCCTGTATGTAGACAAGACCTCTGAAAGGACACTGGCTGATCTCAGCTAAGGTCCCCACTAAGGCTTGTCTCACCTGGACCTTTTTTAAAGGTCTGATAGGAAGTGGCATTTAAAAACACTTGCATGCTGTTGACTCTCCTGTTTTTCCAAGGTAACCCAAACATGCACAGATTCTTCCAAGCACAGCTCCAGCCACCAACAATGCCCTCTCCCTCTGCAAGCACAGCCAAAACCCCTCACATGCTCTGATCTGGCCCCAGCAGCCCCACGGTGACACAGGGAGCCCTCACCTGGTGCCTGAGGACCCAACTTTTCTTGTCCAGGGGATGAACTGCCAAAAAGCAGCAGTCTGCTTGCAGAGCTCCTGTGTTCTCTGTGAGATCTGCTGGGTGGTCTTCAAAAAGTGAGAGGAAGGCACTGGACTGGAGTGCTTAGCACAGTGGGGAGACCCAGCATCCCCCCATGTTTTCTAAACACTGCTTAAAAAAACATGTAATTTTTTATTGGGCTAGCTCCTCAGAGTGGATTTTCTCTCCTTTATGTGGCTGGAAAATGCCTACCAGTGAGCATGTCTTGCAAATAAATCCATAATTAATAATAAAGACAGCTAAATGAATAGTAAAGTGCATAAATACTTTTCCATTACTGTTAACCTTCAGCAATTACTGCCACAGGGCTAAAACAGTTTCAGATTGCAGGGGACACAGATGTCTTCTTTGGTAAGGTGTCTGCTCTAGGAGAGGGTGAAAGACTCTGCTATAAACTGTGCTACTTCTTATCCAGCAACAGCCATGGTTAGTGATTTACAACTTGCATTGGTGACATAAAAACCCTGTCAGCACCCAGAGGTACATAGGTTGGTGCTCTTTGGGCTTGCAAGCCCAACTTCATAAGCCTTCTGTTCCTTTTTGACAAAAACTTGACACACTTCCTAGAGGCTATTGCTGGGCTATGTCTTTGATGACTTTGCCTCCACACTGCCTCTTGAGTTATGGTCCTGCTACACAGAAGGGTGTTTTGCTTGAAAAAAAAGTATTTTTGTATTTTGTAGGGTATTTTTTAACCTTGACACATTTTACATCTCTTGCCTTGCAGGTCTGTGTGGTGTCCTTGGTGGGATTTGTTATGCTTTGTATTTCATACCAACCTGATGAGAAGACCTGTGTGCAGTTCACAGTAAAGGTACCTTGACTTTTTCTAAGCATTTTTTTGCTCCTTATGTCATTAAATATAATCAGAAAAGTTGATACAGGGGATATTTTTAAAACCACATGAAAAGAAGTGAAAATGCACCTGAAATGCAATGTTTTCTGCTACCTTTCAGGCAGCCAAGGAAGAAACTGCAGTCCATAAAGGGAAAACTCTAATAACAAACATTTAAAATCAGAACAAGATGCCATTTTATTTGTCATGTTTTAAGAACATCAAGGAGATTTGGACAGACAAAACCAGGATAATCTGGGAAATGTTCAGTGGAAGATTGGAAGTTTAAGTAGATTAAGTAGAGATGGTGAACTGAGAAGAAAAAGGGTGACATGAAATGGGTACACATAAATCAAGTTTTAATTTTTAATGGCAACATGTTGGGAAAGCATGGGGACTTGCACTCTTCCACAAAGCAAATTCCCATCTGAGCATTGCAAGAGAGGTGCAGAAACTGCTCACCATACCCCACCTTGGTCCCCAAAACTGCTTCGCTGACATTGGGAAGCAACTAGAAGATCAAGGCTGAGAACACTTAACACCATTTTCCAGGACTATTTTTCGTTATTATTGTAATTTTCAGTGCTCTTAATATTTTGCAGACACATAATAACCAAGAAAAATACCAACACAAGCAACACAAAATAACAGTGATTATTAACCGAGAAAGGCAGAAGGAAGCAAAATGCAAGGAGCAGCTTTTCAAAACCTGGCATCCATCCTTCGTTAGAAATTAGACCCCGGTGTGTTTTTTGTGCCTCTGTCAAGCTTCTCCCATACTTACATAAAGAAAGGGAGAAGAAGGACAATTGTTTCTCTCCTTTGGCTGCCCTTATGTTCTTGCCTGTCACCTTTACACCCACAAGTAAGTGTTAGGGCTGCCCAGGGAGCTGCTGGGCTGGGCAGGAGCTGCCACGCCAGGCTTTTTATTGCCTGCCCTGCAGCATTAAATTGAACTTGGCATCCAAGCAGGAAGGGAGTCATCCCTCGTGGTGGGAATGGCATGTTGGGCTGGGCAGCTGGGACATCTCTGCCACTCTTAGCAACACCACCCACCCTGGCAGTGAGGAATGTGAGCAATTGCTGCCTGTAAGAAAATAAACGTTTTTAAATTGCTCCCCAGGTGATGTAAAATGGGTCATTCCTCATTACGTGGCAGAATTGGAGTCAAAAATCTCCATTGAAACTTCTGGTTCTGTCAATAGCCCATGGACTGTTGCTTACCCAAAGCACTCTCCTCCCCAAGATCCCCCTTCCCAGTCTTTCCTATAGCAGAATGCCACAAACTTCCCAGTCGTTCCCACTCTGTTCACCTCCCCTGTCCCATGTCCTCCCTGGGAGCTGTTGTCGCTCTGGACACAGGGAGGGCACACACCTATTTTAACAAAGTAGAAGCTAAAAGTCTTCTCCAGGGTTTTGATCTCCAGGGCTTTGACTCATCTACATGTCCAGTATCACTTCTCAAATCTTCAAATGTCAGTTGAAGGCTGTCCCTGAATGAATGAACATTAGCTATTCCTCAACAAGGCTGAGGATGCGAGATTACAATCATGAGACAAAGACAATTGTTCAGTGGGTTGTTCTCTCCTCCTTGGGGGCCTGATGCTTCATCCAGCACTGCCCTTTAGGGGGACACAACAGCGAATCCCAGGCTCACACAGGAAAATCTTGAGACATCCTGTGGACTTCCTGGGCTGTGTGTTAATACTTGACACATCACTCACTGTGGTCCTCATCAAGGCATCTACCATGGTAGCGTGACATCTTCTCCTCCTGCCCACTGAGCCCCAGCAGCCCACACTGTGACACACACACCACAGTTCCTGTTCCCTGCATGGGCTTGTGCCTGAGCCACCACTACCTTCTAAAGGGGCTCCCTGATCTACTCCTGCGAACCCTCCTGCTTTCACCTCTGATAACTATGAGAGACCTTTTCCATGAGGAACTTGATCTTAGGTTATTCATTTTCTTTTAGCCACAGATCAAAACAACTGCCAGTAAATATTGCTAAAGTGTCTCTTCCTCATATGTGGAACCCAAAGGAGGATGAGCTGCCATGCTCTGACCTCATCACACACTGTCTCTCCCCGCTTCCCTTTTCTCCTTCTATTTAAGCAGCAATCACAGTGCCTATCTCTCTGAGGCTGTTGAAAAAACAGTTTTGCAGTGGCAAGATCTGGTTCATGGGCAAAGCCCACTACACAGTGTTTGTGATTGGTGAAGTTGCCTGCAGGTCTGGCATGTGATTAGTCTGATGATGGAATCTCAGCACTCACTGTCTTGTGCTCCCTCACAGACAGTGTTTGCATTTGCCTCACCTCTGATGTTTGGAAATGTGTGCATTTTCAGCAGCTCACAAAGTGATTCCTCTGCAAACATCCTGTGAGAATAATAAGCTATTTGGAAATTGGCCTATGACGCCACACATCTCTGTTCACCTCTGAGAATCACTGTAAGAGATGCCTGTGCATTCAGATTCTGAGATTTCCTTCCCTTCAGGAACAGAACAGGCAAATTCTTGCTGATTGTACCTGGAGCATGGCTTAGGCCATGGATTTCATGCTGTTGTGTCCTGACTTTGGATGAAAGTTGGCAGCTAAATAAAATACCTGCCAAGGGATAATCAGGCACATTGTGTAGTCTTGGCTTAGTACCTCATTTATTAGGGAGGCCTGATTCTGTCTTCTGCTGGGCTGAATCCAGGGACTTCCAGCCAGTCCACTAGGACTTCTGCATCACAGAACAACCAGTGTGTTTGCCCATTTTCTGTTTTCCCCATCAAACACATTTGCACCATCCTTTAAAATAATGCCATCGGCTTATGAATTACCACATCTTCGTTTGGAGGGTCCATCAGTCAGTAGCACTCCATCTTCTGGGAGCTTTGTATGAGGAGGTGGCCCATTTTCCAGCTTCACCTTTCCCATGGACCTTTGCCTTGAAGCTGCGGGGGTAAAGTAATTGCATTTAATAAGAGCCACCCTCATTTTGAAGCTGCCCTTGGTTTAAGGCTGCAGGGGAAGTCATTAAATTTAATAGTAGCCAAGTCTCAGAAACTAAGATCTTTCTGTACGAATTCAGTGATATGAGAGGAAAATAGTGCTTCAGGACCTGCAATAAGTCCAAACATTTTTTTCAAGCTAGCAACCCTATAGAAGATTGATTCACACTGTAGATATAAGAAAAATACACCAGGAGTGTGAATTTTATCAAGACATACATACTTGGAGTTTCAAGGTCATAAAAAATGCTTTTTTATTGATATTTTGCTTGTGGTATTGAGGTTAAGAGAGAGAGAAGCTGCTGTTTAAAATAACAGATTCCCAACGATGCCATGTGTCTGACAGATAAGACGCCAAGAAAAATAAATGTTTCTACAGTGCTGAACAGAACCAAAAATGCTATTTTGGCTGAACACAGAATATGATTTTAATATACATTCACACATATTTTGTGTGCAGTGCAGCAACTGCCAGTTTCAGCCATCAAAAGCAAGGAAAGTCCATATGTGCTGGTATGCAAAGGTCTCAGGTGCATCCCAGAGTGTCAAAGGCCCTGAGCTGCTGCCAATTTCCATGCATTTGTGGGGGTGGACTCTGCAGAGCTACCCTTGATAAAAGCCATCCTATTTTTAAGCTGCCACTGGTGTAAGGAGCAGTGGAGGTGACAAACAGAGCCTTGTCCTTCTCACTCCATAGCACTGGGAAAGGAAATGTGGCCACTGCTCTTTCACACCTTTGAAAGACTCCACCATGTTTATGGGGCAAGATTTGGAAGGAGATTGAGCATAGCACACACTTTCTTGTGGAGATTTGCATTCCCATTCCACAGTAGGACCTGGGAAGCAAGCAGGCTGGCTGCATTCACAGGGCCACAAGCAGGAGATCAGCCACCTCACTGCCTGATTTGCAAGTATAAATCAGGTTTGTTTGGGCATGCAAACCAAGAGCCGGGAATAACACATGAGCAAAGTTTCAAAACCACCTACTGCTCAGCACAGCCTGGGATAAGGTGTCAGTTCAAGTCTCAGTCTGCTCAGCTCTGCTTCAAGGCAACTGCACTAATTTGTCTCAATTGATGACTATGAGTCTAGTCAATGCAGGTACAATGGTGGAGGCAGGTGCTTCCTCCCTCTGTATAAAGCTTCTGCCTGTACACAGATACCAATTTCTTGGCACTCTCACCAGGTCTCAAAATCACAAGGCAATACACAAAATATGCAAGAGAGACCTGC